GAGCTACCGTTTCATAGCACGGAACGATGTGGATGCTGGTTCAAGTATTGCCCGTGTCAAATTATTTTTTCAATCTAAACATTTTCAATTTATATATTGCCATCACCAAAAATTTCAAACTAACACAGTATATCAAAAGCATAAAATTTCGTTTCAATATGCACATTATTTTAATTTTCCACTCTCGGACACAGATGTATATAGGTTTCAAGAGCTCAGGATCAGTGATGGGTTTGAGACTAACTCAAACCCATCACTGATCCATTCCATCGACTATTTAACGTGGCGTTAAGAGTTCTCTTTGAAAAAATTGCGAAGTTCGAACCTTGGACCTCGTGATGTGTAGCGGAGTGTATAACCGCTGAACGGACCAGGCCTTCTATTTATTACTCAATTCAAGTAACAATTAAATAAGTAAGTTAAGTGTGAAGTGTAATATAGTTAAGTAAGTAATGCTATAGAAAAATGTAGCGTGTGCCAAACAATGTTATTGTGGAAGCAAGTTTTAATGATCTGTTTGAAAAGTTTTAATTTAACACCAGCGTTGATTGTACAAATGAGTTTTACTGAGTAGTAAAAGATCTGTAGGGTTTTGGGCTAATTGCGATGAGAAGAAAAACTCTTATAATATTATCTAGTTATGAATGTGATAGAAGCTACAAGATAACATTACTTAAATAAATCAGTTTATATAAGTATTTTGATCTCCATAACGAAAATTTTGTTGTTTTTATTCATTAAAATATCTATTCTAATATAATATAAAGCTTTTTTTGGGTTTGTTGCACCATTTATCGAAGAAGTCTTTAGGCTATAATACCTTAGTTTACGTCTAACAAGAGTGAAAAACAGTGTGAAATGTGAAAAATTTTGAGAAAATAATTATTTTGGGGGTTTCCCTTAAAACGGCTCAAAACGCATAAAGACTTTACAAAATCTAAAAAAATGTCCGCGATATATAATATGTCTATCTTTTAAAAATAACTCACAAGGACCGTTTTTAGACAATGTCTGATCGAAATACTTAATATGGCAAAAGACTGTTTGCCAGGTCAATTAGTGCATAAATAAATCTTAACGCATTATATCTGACACGGGCATTAAGGTGCGAACGGTATCATAGCACGGTCGCGTGATATAGCTTTATTAATATCATTTATCAAGATATAACTGAAATGTGTTCGTAAACTGGAAGTCAAGAATGTTTATGCTGACTCGATTGTAGTCAGCAGAACTTGTTTAGAAAATACGCGTTACTAGACGTTTCGGGAGCATTTACAGATTGCTTCGACCTACACTGTATCTAGGACTCGTATTATCAGGCTAGACTGACTCAATTAGGTTTCAAGATAGGCTTTGAGTGTCTAAAAATATCATTTACGTCATAACTTTCATCTAGCCAGATCATTCTTTAAAATTTGAATTTTGAATAAACCACTTTTAACGGTAGAAACGTGAAATATATTTGTTAAAAAAGTCTATATTTTTCACACGGCATAATATAAATTAAAAAAAGATTTTAGATTGAAAAACAGATTTTACTCTGACCCATTGATCTACCGTGTCAGTGTTGTAGTTAGAGCAGACGCAGGTTCGAGGTTCAATTCTCGCCCGGTCGTAATTATTTTTTCAATTAATCTAATATCTGTTTCAAATTTATATATTAGTTCTATTTGTGTATTATCGTCACGAGGGAACGTATGGTAGCTTTTGTATCATTAACGTTGGGTCATTATTAAAATAAATATAAACTCATTTAAAGTAAAATATTCGTGTTTTAAACCGGTAAACTTTCTTTCTTCGCATAAAATCCACAGCGATTTTTTTATAAAAGAGTATCACCTATCTTAGTAATAAAAGTGATAAAGATTTTCAACTCCGGATATCTCAGTTCCGAGTAAACACACAAAGGGCTCGGATGCGCGTGCCAATATTGTTTCTCTGGGTTGAAAAAAAGCTGACCACTCGCAGTCAAGTACCCCATTGTCTAGGATAAGGCACAATGGCACTTTCAGAGCCTCTTATTTTATCAGCTTAACACTTTTTTTAGTGATACTTGAGTGTTTCCTCTATAGCTAATAGCTTACGTCGTGTAAACAAAAATTCGATTTAAACTAGACAGCACCTTGATGGTAGATGAAATACCCCAGCCAGATGGGAGAACATCTAAACAAGACACGCTGTCGACCTATTTCGGTTTTAAGGAATTTCAAATCCACAGACTGAAATCAAAGCGCGATTAAACTTGATGGCTTTTTCATCGGTGATTCGTTACCCAGATGGAATTTAATACAAAGATACAACATGTATAAGAAAAATTATAAATTGATTAGAAAAATGTTGGATGCAGTGAGGATCAAATTTCGAATCGAACCATACCATAACACTGATGATCCCATCAAACTTATCGTTAGGTCCTTTTAACTAAAGGTGAATTAATTCACCACAAAAATAGAAGCTACAGAAGGCCGGTTGGATTTTAATGAGTACCAATATATAATATAAACTGCGAACATTAATCAAATAATCTCATTGAAATAAAGCTCAGGTAAATTAATTGATTACAATAACCAGTTTCCTATCTGGCGCCAGCCAAACTCATTACTAATTATAATGAGGAATTCGCTGGTGTTTATGAGATTTGCCACTTCCTGGCAGATAAGGCAAAAAAATTAATGTATCTATAGTTTACGCACACAGCCTAGGATAACACGACGTATGGCGTATACCTAGTAATATTATGATGCTGAAGAGATCGATTGTTCGTTTAAAAGCGCTAATCTCGGGAACTACTGGTTTGATTCTTTGGTTTTGTATTGGATAGACCTCGTAAAAGAAGGTTTTAGGCTATATAACATCACACTCCGGCGAAAGATAGAAAAAAAAAACAGAGAAGTCTTTGAGGGTTTTCGTTGCGTGCGCAGCGAAAACGGTTCAAGAGAGCAAAAAAAGAAAATGTATGAGAATATGATTCCTTTTTTAATGACCAAATGTTTCAATTCCCTTAAGTTATAATAAGTTGGTTCTGCAAAATATTAAACATAAAGTGCATATTCAGGTGGAAAGTTTTATTTTAAGTAATTTGTGTCAAAGTGAACCGGAAACGCGGTGACGCAATCGGCAATACACTTTTTCACTCATTGCCGACCTGATTATTTAGTTAAGTTTGAAGGCCCTTCGAGATGTTAGTTAAAGTATCACGGACGAAGGAAATTTCTGCTAAATCCGTTTATCATGCCTATTTTAGCGGCGAAGTTAGAGCCCGCCAACATGCACTGCAATGGCATGGTGGATCTTAGCCTAAGTAAAGACTTTAACGATTTAAAACGCGATATATTTTAATTAACCTTGTTTGAAATGTATTTTTGCTAAGGTCCTCCCCATGACCACGGCTGTTGCAAAGCGTCCGAAACGTCGGGCCGTTAAAGTGGTTTATTTAAATGTGTACTACTCGCGTAATCTACAGACAGTATTGGATCTTAGCTCTTAAACTCTTTATCCTACGAGAAAGGTGACCAGTTCCAACAGTGGCGTATTAACTCTCTAAAGTTGAATAGGCCGAAACAAAGCCCTTCTACACATCAGCACAGTCGTAATATTCACGAGCGTCAGGAAAAAGACGAAATGCCATCGGACCACGTGCCAAACCTACCTATATAACTCGAAGCATTGACCACGACAAAGATACGTATAAATAAAGATATATAGTACTAGTATCCATTCATAAGAAACAGTTCATTCATGCGGCCGCGCGACTGGTGAATGGGAGCGAGCGAGATAAAAGATAACTAAGCTCGCGTTACAATGGCGAAACAATGCGATCCCGAGAATTGTTGAAACAATGTTCCGGGAATTCTGGAACGGTTTTGTTTTTGGACGATTGTACGGTGGCGTTCCGTTGAAGTGGTCATTGATCGACGAGTGGCTTTAAGTGGAATTATTGGTGTTTATTGTTCGTCTTTACGGGAATTACTATGGATGGAAAATACTAGATTTACTACTTAGTACAGAACTTCAAATTGTTTGTAGTTTGACTGGGTAACTAAAAAACAAAATGTCGGTTGTTTTAATATTTCATACATATAAGAAATAAAAAAATACTTCAGGAGGTTTCACGTAATATAAAAAATAATATGTATATTTATATAAAATAAACCGAACCGTTTAATCTAAGGAAAAATAAATACTTTCGTTATTAATGTATTATTTATTAATCTGGTCACAATTTTCTATTATTAAGATGAAACTTCGTTATAATAAGAATACTTGAAATAAAATTATTAAGTTAAACTCATTATGGACGCAGCTTAATGCACAAGCAACGCGATTGTGTAAAAAAACATCGTCGGTGGAAGTCAACCCCAGTTGGACGCAACAGTCTTGATCGTATGAATCTACAGCGAATAAGCTTTTTTAACATAAACCTGAGACGTTAAAGAACCAAAAATACATCGCTTTTAGTATCTATAAAAAAAAGGGAAATTTAATATTCCTATAAAGCATTATGGTACTAGTTTTGATTGTCGTTTTATAGAAAAAAATAAAGATTAATTTATTTGTTAAAGTATTGTATTGTTCGGCGTAGCTCTTTCTTGACGTTTGATTAAAGATATTTATTTCTAGAGGAACTTTTAAAACAATAAAGTAAAAATAACAATTTATATTATCACGCCCTGCTATTCCTCCAATAGACACATGACCATGACCACATAGCAACATTTATTGAGAATGGGAAAGCCATCCAACTAAGAAGACGAAGAACCTATGAAATAGCACGTTATTAATTTATACCACGGGTCAATGTTTATAAAATGGCAGTGCAGATAAAGCACGTTCAAGCCTTCAAGTATCAAAGCGTGCGAGTCGCGGTTGAAGGTGGTTATACTCGCGGCGTAGGCTAAGTCGTACCTGCGACAGCCGCGCCACTGCCAGTCTAAGTTGCGACCCGCAAACAACTCGCACGCGACCGAACGAAAAATAACCGTGACGAATCTGTGATCATGCAAGTGCTAGCTACATTCGTCCTCGTCTGGCTGATTAACGAAGTCCGGGGGGCGATCAGAACACCCCTAGAAGCGTTCAGGCCCTCGGCAGAAATTCACATACGAAGACCAGACAAACTCCCGTTCCTGCCCCATAGAAGGACGATGCAACAGAAGGGCGGCCTCAAGATTCTGTACCAAACAGGCGTAAGTATTGTATGTCGAACGATTCATTTTTACTATAGATTACTTATTTGCGGTTTCGCTTCGCGTAGTCCAGTTCTTAGATATAAATTGCAGATATTTTTAATCGATGCACGGCGGGTTCAATTTCCAATTTACAAGCGGACGTAGTTTCCAATAGCTTAACATTTCATTTTAATTCCATACCGGTATTTTATATAGGCAATTTTATCTGTGAGACATCGGTTATTCTAAGAATTTCTACCGCCCAAATTGAAAATAAAATCGTGAAGGCGGTAAAGGTAAAGTTAATTATTATTTGCTTAATGTTGAAGGTAGTCAAGGATTTGTTTGTTCATAGGACCTTAATGGAATCGTTATTGAAATAAAAACCACGATACACGCGAAAAGTAAATTAGGAAGTCCTAAATAGAATTAAAGATATTATGGTAATGAGCAAAATGTTCTTGAGCGAATTTTTCATCTACTTTTCGATAAATTGAGAGAATTTATCGAAAAGTAGATGAAAAAAGTTATTTTCTACAACAGATATATATTTAAATAAAACACTTTAACGGTTTAAAACGCGATATATTAGTTAAACTTATTTGAAAATGATTTTTAACTTCGGCCCGACGTTTCGCTACCCGCGACCACGGCTGCTGCAAAGCACCCGAAACGTCGGGCCGAAGTTAAAAATCATTTTCAAATAAGTTTAACTAATATATTGCGTTTTAAACCGTTAAAGTGTTTTATTTAAATGTGTACTACTCGCGTAAAGTATAGACAGTATTTAACAGATATATATCTAGAAAGTTTTTATAAGTATTGCATTGAAAAATTAACAAATACCCTTGGGTCAATCATAAAAAATCCTCCTTCAAAAGCCATTTGGAGACCAACATTCCACGGGCAAGAGCGAGATCGCTTTATCTTACTAAGAAGTCAATTTTATTAATCTCTCGGAAATAAGCTCGAGGAAATTATTCGAATGTGTCGGTGCTCCTTCCCAGATCTAGTGGGAACACGTGTGCTATAAAATTATTCGTCATAGCAGATACCAGGAAGGGAGCACCCAACAATTATCCCAATTAGAGGAGCTATGGCCTTGCAAACACGTGGCCCAGTTTAATTGCTGCGTCACGATTTAAAGCATTCATCAACCCTGTTATAAATTTCACGCTGGTCAAATGGCGTTGGCATATGACAGATTTCGTTCCTAAGGATCGCACTTCCGACCTAGATGCCCTAACCAGGCCAACACGGCTCTCCTGCAGCGTAAACGCATTATCTCCTATCAATCAAATCCAGTCTGATAAAACTTAAAACGAAATTAAACTGTCACCAGTTTCCTCTGAGGCTCATGCGATCATCAATAATTACGGCGAGTTTAATAAAAATAGAAAAGGAGTCACGGATATCAACTTTTGTAAGTCATATTTTAAAAACAACGTTAATCATATTATTATGCCTAATTTTAAAGTCGATTCAAGAAGATAATCGTTCTAAGCTGTAAGTAATTGTGTGTATTCGACAACCGGCGTAGTCGAGTGCGTTTTTGCTTAGTAAAATGGGCCGTAATATTTGACCGTTAGGAGCGAGAGTGCTTTGAGATTCGTCGATTTTGAAGGATCAATTTGTGAAGCAGGTGCTGTCCGCGCCTGCGTAGGAGCATGCGTAACACCGGTAGCGGCAGGTGTTCATTCACTCATTCTTATCTTGACAGCTTTGATGACTTACGGCCAGCTCGGTCCCGGGCAGTGGGTACTATTTGATAAAAACTATCTTTTTTTCCTTTTTTGTGTCACTGGCTTTACATTCGTAACGGTAACTGCCTTTTCGGTTGTACGTCTCATTGTTGATTGGAACTTAAGAATTATCTTGTTGTTTACATAATTCATACGTATGTATATGGCGGGTACCAAAAGTTAGGAAGGTCGAACGGACTTTCGATTTGACTTTATATCTTGTCCGATATATGTATGATGAATAATTTTACAGTTATCTATTGCATTATATATTTCAGTAAAGCAGCTTACAATTACCACGTTATCATTTAACGACTCGTAATTTAGTTTAATATAAAAAAAAAATATTTAATTTCATTGTTTTTAAATGTCCATATTAAATTTCCCCCACTGTGAAGCAAAAAGTCATTATTTCATATTATTTTTTTTTATCAACAATTTACAATTCTATATTTAAATATTTTATAGTCTTATTAGTGTTTGCACCTCTGTAGTAATTTAAATTAGGAAAGTTTTGAACGTCAAACTAACAAAGCAGTGTCTTCCTAGCATCCGTATGACAAAACCACAAAGGGATGCGCACTCTATACACAATACATAGATCATCCGTTCGAAGGAGGGAATTGCATTGTACTAATTACAATGAAATCTTTGCAAATGTAGTCTATACATTGCTGTGGGTAATCTTTAGTCAAAATACAGAGTGGCAATGTTACATCCTTGTATGGTGACAGTGCTAATAGAATAATGGATACGCAATTTTACTATTACCCAATAAATGTATGTGATTGACTGGCAACGGTTGGACCAAATATATCCTTGAACTAAAAATATTTCGGTACTACTTACTCGAGATGAAGCTAAGTTTTCAGTTTCTTTTGTCAAATAAGTTTCACGCAATTTCTTTATTAATAAAAGAACCAATGATTTATAGGTTTTAATCATTATAATTATAAGCCATGTTCTTTAATCAATGATGAAATTGGAAATGCTTCCAGTAACTCGACGGCAATTAAAAAACGATTCATTAGTCGAAATGAAATCGCGATTTCCATGTGTCGTATAAATATCCGATAGGATGACAAGAAACTGCGCGGAGACGGACATAACGGGAGCCGTGCAAATGATCGCCGGACGCGATTGAAAAAATATTTAATGCATAAGATTAACGCTTTCCACATATGTTTACGTGTAATTGTTGGTTGGTTATATAATCATAATAATATATGGATGTCACGATAATATCTTGTGGACGAACCACCGTCCACAGATGAAGGAGTCATGAGTGCTGTCTGTAGTTTACGCGAGTAGTACACATTTAAAACGCGATATATATCAGTTACATTTATTTTTAAATTCTACAAATTTTTACTTATATATATCGCGATTAAAACCGTCAAAGTGTTTCATTTAAAAAGTCATAAGTGGTTAATTACCGAACGTGATCCCATTTTTTTATTTAAATGGATTTTTGATTTATTTAATATATTAAATTATAAAACGCGATATATATTAGTCAAACTTATTTGAAAATTATATTAACTGCGGCCGGACGTCTCTAAATACCTAGTTCGACGGAACAGATGGCGCTAGCATAGCAGTTTGTAACTTTGACGTCAGAGACACCATCCATCCATCTTTAGCCTCCCCGTGACCATGGCTCCTGCAAAGCATCCGAAACGTCGGGCGGTAGTTAAAAGAAATTTCAAATAAGTTTAACTAATACACCTCGCAAGTTAAACCTTTAAAGTGTTTGATATAAATGTGTACTACTCGTGTAAACTACAGACAGTATTTATTTACTATCATCAATAGCAATAGAGCATGTGGAAAATACGAACATTTTCAAACTTTCAATTGGTAGGAAAATTGCATAAACAAATTTGTTTATGGTTAAAGAGTAGGCCGTCAATGTATAGGCCATTCTTTTCATGAGCCATTGCGTCACTTACGCTTGACACCGAAACGTCTTATTTACAATTTAATAAACATTTTTCCGTATTAAGGAATGTCATGCAATTTAACCCACCACGCCACTTATGCAATCTCAATAGGCATCGCGGCCTACGTGATTGAGTCTATGGGGAAGTCTCCTTATTTGGTCGGACTACATTTTACGGAAGCCGTCGTGTTTAATATTGTCTTCACTCTTTACATACAATTTACACTACATCGGTGGAAACGATGTGAAATGGCATCACAAATTCTAATATTTTAAGTGGGATTCATTAAGTAAATAAGGCTTATTTTGAAAACTTTAATATTTTTCACATGTTAATGCACATGATGGCGCCATAGAAATTAAAAAGCGATAATAAAAATAAGACTACCATTACGTGTCGTGTCCAAGTTACATGTCCGTTCAAGTCCTGCCCGTGTCGAATTTTTAAAAATCTAAATAGATTTTTAATGTAAGTATATAATGCCATCAGGTGCAATAACACGTGCAAAATATCTAACAGTTTTAACAAAATTTTATAAAACAAGTCTTAATAGAAAGGAATAGATAAAAATTTCAACTACTAGTACAGAACCAGTAGTAGAAGCATAAGTAACCGATTAGAACCGAGACTATCGCATTCAAATAAACAAACTCTTCAACTTTATAATATTAATATAGACACGAACCTGCAAAATTATTTGCAGTTTCTTGTTAGACCTGGTATACAAATAATTACAGTATGTTGAACTATTTATAGCACTAATAATAACATTTATGCAACTACAGTTACAAGCACCCTGTATCTAGTAGATATGCATTTCATTCACAGCTTTGCCCTTGATACATTTGCAACTTACGTTACTCAATAACTTGTTATTCAACATTTCATTCAAGAATAATCGAGTAAGAATCGAGTATTTATGAATTAAATAAGTTTTTCGATTGAAGACACGAGCTTATAGGGAAAAGTGAATGTAAAAACCGACCTCGGGTTCCTGAGATCACGCTCGGTAAGGGCGAGGATACAATGCTAGGAATGTTGTCCGAATGTCTCGCTTTGATATGGAGGTTATAACTTCAGTCTATAGTTCTATCTATGAGAGCTAAGCTTAAATCACTGTAAGCTTAACGTAAACGATAGTATGTATTATATTTTCATTACGCTCGTTTCTTTTTATCGAATTTTCAAAACAAATTTAGCGTTAAATAGATAAATGACGCTGTTATGAATAATGATTATGATTTTCATATTTAAACCCTGAGCCAGTACAGTACTTAGTTCAAGCCAGTTACTTTTGGGTTTAAAAATGTAACTAAGGTTTTTAATAATCAAT